TCTTCATGCTTCTACACTTGATTTAGCAGAGAGAATCATTACAGAGAGCTTCCCTGGGCACTCCATTTGAGTTTTGTGGCTTTTGCTAACTTTCTGTTGTTGCTTCATGTTGGCAGTTGGACTGAACCGCTGGTATCCTGATGACTGAGTCTAGTAATCTTCTAAAGACCCATCAACCGTAATCAGCAGGAAATAGATAAATGAGGACTATGGCCCTTTTTCCTACTCAATCTTCTACTTAAGGTTTTGGGGGGTTGGAAGGGAGTTAAAAGTGCTTTAAAACCTTGAATAAAGTAGGTAAAAATCTAAGCCAATAGCAAATTTGGGTTTTAATATGGTGACATAAATCAAAAAGTATGAATGAGTTGCTGGGGAGAGCCAAATTTATAGGCACAAGACTATCATAGTATGAAATGCTACCATTCTCTCTCCTGGCCAACTCCTCTAGAGCTGCTAATATATGGTATCCTTGAATAAGAACTGAGCCTCAAGTTTTGCGTTTCCTACCCTGTGCCAACCTAAAATTACTATAGAAATGTCATTTCTATAAATAGAGGCACCATTTGTGAGGGACAAGAAATATTTTGAATATTCACTTGTGGTATAGACCACTCAGTTCAGTGTTCATGGCTAGGAAGATGAACTTGGGCCTGACTGCAACTTCACATTTTCTCTGGCAGGTTTCTACATCTTTTCAGTTTCCTCATATTAAAGTAGGATTAATGAGAGGATCCAGCAAAGAACTGTAGATAAAACAGCAGCCTGGGAAAACTGGCTCTCTCAGTCCTACTAAGCGTCCCTCATGTATGGCTTAGCTTAATTCTGCCACTTGTAAAACACAGTGAGAAGATGCCATCTACAGATGTGGTTGTGTATGATAACAATCCCAGCTCTTACTCTGAGGTGCAAAAACAGGGTGATTCAGGTTCAAGGTATATATTTATGAATGTGTATTATGTATAGTACCTGATCAGAGCAAGTAGCTCACAGACTTAAAAGAAAGATTATCCATTTAGGAGGCTGTTTATCTGTCTTAACACAATATGTGTAGGGAAAAACATGCAACAGTACTGTGAGTTATAACAGCAGCAGTGTGCCTTGTGCACACAGAGCTATTAATCACAAGGGTGGGAGGAGAAAGACCGGCCTAAATCATCATGGCCAAATTCCTTAAAGCAAGCAATTACTTAAAGCAAGCTTTTTTATTCATGTGCATGGGCTGTCTCTCCCTAAGGTGGGGTTTCAGAGGTCAGTCAGCATTGGATTGTGAGGAAGACAAAACTTTTAGACTTAGAGATCAGGGATAGGTGGTTTCCAAATGGGGGATTTGGTAGGCAAAATAGACCCACTGAAAAGAACACAAACAAGCAAAACAAACAAAATACCAGGGTTACAGGAGATGAATATAAGTGTAAAAGTTAGTCCCTCCTGTAACAAAGGCCTAGTTGCAAAATATCTAGGTAGTTATAACAACAGGTAGTCATAGGTGGTCATATAGCCTTTTGCAACAAAGGTAGGGTTGTGAGATAGTTATAAACAACTTTTTGAAACAGAGACATGATTGCCTTTCTTGGAACATGTATATACATATATTTCCCAACTATCACTATTATCTCTCTTCAGAGTTCTCTCAACCTGTAGACATTGCCCCAACTTCTCATCTTTTTGTTATCTGTAACTCAGGTGCTTGAGATCTTGACTGAAATTCTCTGATATTTTCTTTCTTCCATTCTTAACTGTTTATTAACATTTCACAGAAATTCATTTTCAAAACATTGAGGACAACTAACAGAGAAAAATGTGGACAATTAAAGTGGAAGTGATTATTGGTTTTGCTCACGTAACATTGACACAAACTATACAGAATACTTACTTCTATGAGGAAGCTATGGGGAGCTGATAGGGTCTTTTAGAAATGTAATGATGTATTTGGCATTTGTTAACTTTTCTTATGTTATGAACTACTAGCATAGGAAAATAGCTTATATTATAATTTTCCTACCAAATTAAGATATTAAAATATGTATAATTTTTTTGTGAAAAAAAAAAGGGTCCTAAATGGTTAAGCTTTCAAACTTTTTAAGACCCAAATCCAATTTAGGACCACGCTTGTTATCAAGATTTGTCTTAATCATGCTGTTTTTTTTTTTTTTATTGTCAACTTGATATAGCCTAGAGTGATAGAGGACACAGATGTGGAAATAATGAAAGTTTAGATAAAATCCCAATATCTGACTTCTCCACTGTCAGCTGTCACATTCCAAAACAGTGTTGGCCTCTCAGCTATTATATGTATTGGGGTTATGTAGTTTTAGAACTTTGTTTTGATTTTTGGTCAATGAAAAAGCATTGTGTAAAAACCTGTTCTGTGGGTAGTTTCCATTCAGCATGTGAACAGGAAGCCCCCCCCCCAAAGAAAAGTCAGCTGAACCACCTTATAGGTAAGTCACTGATCAGGATTTGACCTGGCTTCTTGCCTCACCACTGTAAGGCTTCTCACCTCCACTTGGCTCTTAAGGATGGTCTCATATACCTTCTGACTGCTAAGCTCATGTTAAGACATAGCATCAAGGCCCAGTTGGGCTAGAAAGACTGACTAAAGTTGGGTGGTAATGATGTGCATGTTGTTCTGATTGTCACACAAAACCTAGCATATTTGAGAGGATGGTGGGCTATCCAAGCAAAGAAGAAAACCTAAAAAGTCAGGGAAGAAATAAGAACTAGGGATGGAGATCTGAAAATTACCTGTCAAGGAATTTATAAATGAGTATGTGTATGTCTAAGGAGGGAGGGAGGAAAGGTGCTAGAGGAGAAGCATAGACAAACAATCTTAACAGACTTACTGAGGGTAGAATGAAAGCCACAAGAACACAAGTGACGGAGCTGGAAGAAGATGGAAAGGACAAATAAACAACAGTGCAGAGAACAAATGCTAATTTATAACAAAAAGGAACTTGTAATAACAACTCGGGACCGGCTGGCATTGGCTGAACATGTAGGTAGCATGGTAGCCAGCTGACCACTCTCTATGGACTACTTTGTCTACCCTTTCCATCTAGCTGGGAAGAAGGAACGTCAGTGATAGCAGTTTCACAGATATGCAGGCACCGAGAGGTCAAGTACCTTCTTCTTAAGGTCCCATAACCAATGCAGGAAAGATGTGGGGCTAAATTAATAGTGGGGTTATCTTAGAGCCCAGGCTGTGAACCTCTGTGCTTCAGTGAATCTTAAGGAGAAAAGAAGGAAAAACAGAGTTAGTACTAATAGGAGCTGGGGCATGCTACCACTGATGGAGTGCCATTTTGTACAGGGTACAGAACTCGGTCTCTGTTAATGCTACAATTTCAGGTGCTGAGTATTCCTAGAGTTGAGAAGAGAAGGAAAATGGCTCAATGGTGTCAGTAACCTGCCTGAAGCCACACAACTCAGTGTGTAACACCAGCAATTAAAAGCTAGGTCTCCCCCAGCAGTACAATTCATACCACCAGACTGGCCCCTTTCACTGGGAAACCTTGGAAGATACTGGTAGTGTGCTCAAATTCATTAACTCAGCAGGATGAGCCCAGAAATTTCCGTTAGGTTTTACTTTTTAAAAAGAGGTACAGAGAGCAGTTAATTGCAATCACTGCTCTTGCAGAGGATCTAGGTTCAGTTCCTAATACCAACAGGGCAAATTTCAAACATACACAACTCCAGTTCTGGGGGATCTAAGGACCTCTTCTGACCTCCAAGTAACCAGGCACTCACACAGTGTAGGAAAATACCCCCCCACACGCACAATAAAAATAAACCTTTACAAAAAGTTAAAATTTTTTCTCTCCCTTTCTTTCTTCCTGTCCTGTCCTTTCCTTTCGTCTTTCCTCCCCCAATGCTTCTCCAATTTTCTTATTTCGTTCTATGAATCAAAACCTTACTCTGCAGTTGGACTGGCCTATGTAGCGCAGACTGGCCTCAAGTTTACAGCAGTCCTCCTGCCTTGTGAATCACAGGATCAGAGATGTAAACCACCACTCCCAGCTTATGTGTACTTTGAATAATGACTTCTCAAACCCACCTACCAGAGTTTCCAATTTATTTAATTATGGGTTTGACCTGTAAACCTAAACTTAAGAAAAAAAATCTTCCTGAATTATTTTTTATTTGCAGCCAGGTTGAGAATTCACCTCTCCAAGCATCAAGCAACTTGCCGGTTTGTAAGAAAAGTATGTCTACATGAACACTTCCTTACATGAGCACACGTTGAAGCCCAAAAGCAATGGTTGAAATGGCTACCAAAATGACTTCATGGTGTGAGAAAAGGTCACTGGGAAATCAGAGTCCATACAGGTCAAACTTTCTTGCTTTAAAAGAACATAGGAAAGTGGCCTCATCTACACCGTTTGTTTTTCTTTGGGCTCCTATAACAATATACTAGAGAGTGTATACCACACTCCCTTCCACACACACAGTTTTGGAAGCTAGAAATTTAGATCTGGTGTCATTCTGGTTGGTTTCTGCAGAGGGCTCTCATCTAGATATGGATTGCCGAGTTCTTGTATTTCTGTATGTGAGGGAAGAGAAAGAGCAAGGGACACATATGAAGAGGGGAGGAAAAAAGGAAGGAGGAAGAGATAAGAGAGAGTAAAAAGGAGAGGAGAAAGAGTGGAAAAGAGGAAGAAGAGGTGAGGAGATGAAAGGGAGGGGAGGGGAGGGAAGGGAAGGGGAGGGGGGGAGAGGGGGGGGGAGGGGGGGGGAGGGGAGGGGAGAGGCAGGAAGAAATGCCGAATAACCAGATTCTTTATTTCCTTATACGGGACCTCATGTGATAGAGGCTCCCAATCAACTTCAGGAACACATTTCCTGATAAAGGTGTAATCTCTGATCATTGTAATACTAGAGAGTTAGATTTTTAATATATGCAGTGGGGGAGGTCACAAGCTTTCATTAGATGGCACCATGTCATTTTTCCTTCAAAATATACATGGTGGCATCCAGCCAATTACATGTTGAAAATCTCTTACCCAAGACTCTCAATCTCTCGGCTCCCACAACCACTTCACTGTCATCCGCAGAAAAGAGCAATTTTCCAGATACAGTTTTTACTTCAAACTTTTTGCCATATGCTTCCACAGCTTTCGGACCTAAAAGGGAGAGAGAAAGAAAGAGGGGAGGAATACATTAGTTTCGTCGCATTTGACTACAAAAGCTTTTCATTGGACATATGCGCTCCACGGGATTGTGTCTGATTTTAATGTTAAGCGGATTGGTTTTCTGAAGCGGACCATGGAAATTAGTGTCTTGACTGCATCTCACCTTGTCAATTGCTTTTAATCATCTGGTGCTGGGATGTGGTTTTAGAGGTCTTCCTGTTCTCCATATGGACTAATGCATGAATGAAATTTCTTTCTTCTAGCCCCAAATTAGTGTCAAACACGTGGAGGCTCTTGATCAAAAGTGTCAGGACCCAGAGTATAACCATTTCTTATGGGAACTAAGCATCTTCAGCCAGTTGTAAATATCATAAAAGATTCTTGTGAGTTCAGCTGAGGTATGGCCATTGGTACCCTTCACCTATTGTCTGACACAAAGACAAATCTATTTCCTCAGTAGACATATAATTTCCAAGTATAAATGGCTATAATATAATAGATTTTTCTACAAGTTGTTAAGTCTCTAATAACAGGAATTAATTTAATTTCATAAAAAAATACACTCTGAGTTTATTGTGTGGCATCAAATGCTATTCTTGACCATAGGCTCTTTGTACAAGTGCTTAAGTAACAGCCCTGGTCCCATCGCACCTGTATCCTGATGGAGCCAGACTCACATAGATTCAATTTATTTATTCACATATTTCACATATGAGTGCTCTGTTTTAATGCACACCAGAAGAGGGCATCAGATCCCATTACAGATTGTTGTGAACTGCTATGTGGCTGCAGATGTGCAGCTTGGTCATCATGCAGGTCCCCAACAACTGGAGTAGGGGTTGCCTCTGACTTCGTTGCCTGCCTTTGGATTCCTTTTTCCCACCTGGGCTGCCTTGTCTGGCCTTGGTGGAAGAGGATAAAATTATTACTGCTGTGGCTTGAGGTGCCAGGGTGGGTTGGTACCCCTTGGGAGCCTCCTCTGAGAAGGAGAGAGGGGATGGGGAAGGGGAGCATGAGGGTGGGACTGGAAGGAGAGGAGAGAGGGGCTGAGATCAGGCTATAAAGAAATAAATGAATGGAAAAAGTCACTGATTTCACCTAGGGATGTGTGAGGTCTTGTGGTTTGGAGAAAGCTGATGCTTCAGCTTTTAGAAATGTTTAGGGATGTGTGTGTGTGTGTGTGTGTGTGTGTGTGTGTGTGTATGCTTATACATTTATACATTCATGCATATGTGCTTTCATGTATGTAGTACATTACTCCTGGGTGTATGTAGTTTTCTTTTCTTTTCTTTTCTTTCTTTCTTTCTTTCTTTCTTTCTTTCTTTCTTTCTTTCTTTCTTTCTTTCTTTCTCTCTCTCTCTCTCTCTCTCTCTCTCTTTCTTTCTTTTTTTTTAAAACAGGTTTTTTGTTTTTTTTTTGTTTTTTTTCTGTGTAGCCTTGGCTCTTCTGGATTCACTTTGTAGACCAGGCTGGCCTTGAACTCACAGAGATCTGCCTGCCTCTGCCTCCCTGAGTGCTGGGATTATAGGCGTGTGCCACTGTGCCCAGCTTATGTATCTGTTTTGATGGTTCCATCAATCATGATCCCCATGAGACCCTGTCTAGGGATGATCTATAAATTACTTAAGTTTAGGCAGAGGCCAGCCTATTAGAACCAGACCAACTCCTGTATATCTGAAATTACTTTCTTTGTCACAAGTGTGTAACTAGGTGCCAAAACCTCACCCTTTCCTCCCTCGTTGGCACTGTGATTGTGGGCAAGTCATTTCATCTTTCTCTTTCTGTGTATGCAAAACTACCTACCACCATCTTCTCTGTGGACCCCATAGAAAGGCTGAAAAGACCAAGTGATGTTGAATTTATAAAAAGAACTTTATAGGCACAAAAGTGCTGTGAGCTGTGGTGATCACATTATGTTGTTGCCTTCACCACTGCCATGAGCATTCTTCTACTGAGATGGTTACGATGTACTGTAGTGATGAGTATCTCTTAGTGCATTTTGCTCATCACTTAGGCACATGCATTTAGCAGACTTCCTCCTCCCTTGCCAGGACATTCACATTGACCCTCTGACATAAAAAGGTGCATAGGAAAGGTTCCTCAGCGAGCCAGAGACTGAAGCAGCAGAGGTTGTACAGAATCTATAAGCATTGAAAGTGCTGGAGATGCTCTTGACTGGTTGCACAGGAAAAGAGTAAGCAAAGTGAGGCTCGGGGTCACTGCGGGAGCAAGAGAGAATCCAAGAGTGGAATCCAGATCTCACAACGCTACACGGAACACAAAGGATATCTCTCTGTCTAGGAAGGTGAAGAGGGCTTGAGTCAGCACATTGAGAACATCAAGGAGATAACTTTTCTGAGGAAGAAGAAATGTAAAAATAAGTGGCCAAGAACTCAAGGAAATCCTGAAGTACATCAATGTGAAGGATTCAGAGTAGATATTACCGTGTGAGTTAAGATATAGCTATCTTATTGATGCCAGTAAAACTTTAAGTAAAATTCTATATTGCTTGCCAATTTTAGAAAGATAACACTGTTTGGAGGGAAGGAGAGTGGGGATGAGGAGACAATTTGCTAATGATAAGTGAATGAAAAACTTCAGGATGGACATGCAGGGCACTTTGTCCACTCTAGATGTAGTCATATGGAGATATGAGATCGGGAGACAAATGCTTGGTCTTGGCTTTCATGAACCAGGCGAGATTGTCAGACTAGGCTCCAAGCTTTCTGTGAATAGCCTGAGCTCACTCTAGACTCCTAAACAATGTGTGAGACCTATGTGAACGGGGGTTGACTGAAAAAGACCAAAGCAATCAGAGTATACAAAACACAATTAAGTTGTCTTTCTCTTCAGAGAACCATAAAATACAAAATAAAATCTACCAGGGCCAGAACTGTTGGCCAACATAAAGCAGACAAAGCAAAGATTCAGCCAAAAGCTCTCATAGTGACTACTGGCGAGTTGGTGCAGACAGCTTTGTCTTTGTTGGTTTTACCCAGAGCTGCCAGAATTCCCTGGGCATGGCCAGAATCTTAAAAGAGGACTCTGGAGTGAAATGTTGGTGGAACTGAACATTGTTCTGGAAGCCCTTTAGTGAATCTGCAGTTGTTTGGGGAATAGAAAAACATGACTTCTGAGGTGAAGCTGATCTCCCGTTAATAGTTTCCTCTGGATGTGTGAGGTAGCTCTTCAGTCTCCTCTCCCCATTTAGGAGGAAAAGGCAAGACTTTAGGTTGCAGGTACTGTGACCACCAGGAATCTAAGACAGGAAAAACCTCGTGCTTGTTACCTCATTTATTTTCCCTTCGGGACTAGGTCCCTTTCTCCTCCTAAAGCTGTTTTCCTTAAATGTTCCAGAACTTCAAAGATGGGTTGTCCTAAGATAATCAGTCAGCAATGTTATGAGTCAAAATGCATCAGTGGCCCAGCCTTAGGTCTACCTCTGAAAAAGATGACCTGAACTTGGAACATCAGGCCTTCTGGTGGACTTTTAGGATATTTCCCAAGTCAACAGTATAGTTCTGGAATCCTCAGGATTGCAACGCTTAGAAGAAATGAGAAATTTGCTTCGTGTAATTGTACATCCCCTGTAATAGGAACTAGAAGGTGTTATTTTTACCTTCTCGCCACCCCAGCATTAGTTTTTTCTTCTGACTCATTTTGAGAGTAAGGATTGGTGTCTTTCAGCGACTAAGAGGCATTAATTTAGAAATGGGAGATCAAAAGACAAAGACTACTGGAAGGGCAGAAAATAAAGAGAGGAGGAGAGAGAAGGAGGGAAGAGGGGGCAGGAATAGAGAGGAAGAGTGGTAAGAGATGAAGAAGGAAGAGGAGAGTAGGGAGAAGGAAGAATCTAGAGAATGGATGTAGGGTGTAAAGAAGAGAGGAGGCAAAACAGGAGGAGGATATGAATATGGAGAGTGGGAGGGGGAGTTGGAAGGGCAAAGAAGATGAAGAGAGAAAAAGAGAGAAGGAGAAGAATGAGGAGTGAAAGAGACAGAGGTGAGCTCTCTTTAGAGGTGTAATGCTCCTTTTCAGCTTTATGAAAAACAATCTTTCAAGTAAACCAAAATCTCCCACTGCAGATAAATGCAACTGATCAACAGGCTATATCAGGTCTTTTTATACCATGGGATCTGGAAGCTGGAGGTTGGATTTATCTCTGTCCTGGAGGCACAGTTTCACACATGCTGCTTAAATCACTACTTACTGGGAGCTGTTTATTTAATTATTTAGCACCGGTGACTGGAGGCCAGATGTTATATAAGCAAGCCAGATGCCTGCTATAACAGTGTGTTTGTGGATCACAGGCTCTACTGGGCAGCATTTCCACAGACCCAGAAGCTCCTCAGCTGTGGATGGCCCAACCCACTTCAGGCCTATGTAATTCTGACATCCATCTGTAGCTTTACTGGGGAAAGGGGAGCATGGCTCTGTGTGCACAGGCACCTGCTTCCCTGTGACTTGGTTCCTAGTGGGACTCTCGAGATTCTAGTTCCAGTAATGTTTGAGGGCATTTGAGTTAGTGTTCTCTCAAATTATCCATCTGGATGCTTTTCTCTCAGCACTGAAGTCAAATGGCATGCCCTTCTGGAGGTCTAACAATGCCATTCAGACCCACACTTTCTCTTTCCACTGTGGTGTATACAATGCCTCTCTGTCTATCATTTCTTATAAACTTACAGAAGGGGCATTGATCACACAGCTCAACACGTGACCGTATCCATGAGGCCCACCTTTGTCAGTAGAGTCATTATGACAAACAACCAATCCTTATTTAAACTGTTTGAATTCAAAGCTTAAAACCTAGTGCGTATTTCCAACAGCTGTTAGGGACAGATCTTCCATACTAAAATGAACCACACGTTCAGAGCCTGTGGACACATCTGCACCTTGCAGTTGAATTAGGCTCAAAGACAGCAAACAGAAAATAGGACGAGGCTTCCAACTATCATTAAAAATCCCTTTTACAGGAGCCGGGGCAGTGGCTGAGATAGTGAAGTTACTGCTGTGCGGGAACTGAGGACCTGAGTGTGGGTATACAACTCCCATGTAAAAGCTGGGCATGCTAGCTGGGTCAGCAACCGTAGTGCTTTCAGGATCAGAAACAGAGGGGTAGAGAGGTAGGCAGAGATAATCAAGACTCCCTTATTAATTCACCAGCCGGTCTCACCAATGAGGAGACTTTGGCCTCAGGGAGCAATGCTGTTCAAAAATTAAGGTGAAGAGTGATGGAGAAAGATACCTGATGTCAACCTCTGATTTTCATATGCATATATGGCCATATGCATACAACCATATACACACATATACCACACCACACACACACACACACACACACACACACACACGCACACACAATCTCCTTTTACAACCTATAAAGTGTGGGTGTGGCTTTGCACATCTTCTGCTCTCTGAATTGAGTACTGACCTTTTCCTCCACTGTGAAAAAGGAAGCATTGGATGACATGACTGTTTGCCCAAATTAAAAGAAGCAGGTTCTATATGAACCCCAAAGCCATGGGATCTTGGCTCAGATTACAGCACGAGGCATTAAATTCCTTCCTACGGAACAAGCCTCATCCAATGAGAAAGCAGTTAGTTACCCTATAACTACTGTGTTACTGACGCATATGTAGGCACGTCTTGGTAGGTCAGTATTGCATCTTGCAGGGCCATGTGATCAAACCATGTTCTAAACACTTATACTCCCAGACCTAGACCGCTCTCTGTGCCATGGGAAGCCAGCAGGAGAGAGAGAGAGATTCATAACTGGCCAAAAAGTGCTAAGGAAGGAGAATGAGTGCTCAGCACTAAGTGAGATATCATCTATTTTGACCCATACTCTACCAAGGTTCAGGGGTCATTGCAGAAGACAAGGTCAAAGTAATGTAAGAGCTGGAGGCTAGAGAGGAGTGCTGGAAAATGCTGCCTTTTAGACATAACAAGGCTAGCACACTCACAAACCTGTAGCAGTTGTGGTTACCTGTACAAGACTATGTAAGATCAAGACAGCCTAAACCCCAGCATAGATGAGGTAGACAATCTCCAGGCCTACTCCTTCTGAGGAGCTACAAATGGCGTATAGTTGCTAGAGGAGAGAAAATTACTCTTTTTTGGCGATATAACCCCTGGCCAGTTTCCCATAGCCTAGTGAATAGCCCCATACCTGTGCGTGTATGAGCAAACAAACTGGAATTAAAAAAATCAAAGATATTAAGTTGGAAGGCAGTGTGCTAGGGAGAGCTGAAGGGAGAAAATGTGGGGAGGGAGGTCTGTGTGATCACACCTCATTGTATACATGAATGAAATTCTCAAAAATAAAGAACAACATTTAAAAGGAGCTTTTCCTCGGTTGAGTACAGGTTAAAGCAGCAGGCTCGTGTTTAGGGGCCACGATCTATTAAAAACAGCTTTTCAGCAAAAGCAACTGCTACGGTGCTTAGTAAATTATGTGAATATTGGGCCTGTATCTTTTGGTAGAATCAGAGGTTACAAGCTGAGTTTTCTTTCTCCCCACAGTAAATGGCCAGCAGATCCTTGTTCAAGCTTACATGGTGTTTCACAGGACAGTAAAGTCTGATTTGTCTAGGACTCAGATGGACCAACCATTTGTTCATTTGTGCTTTTCTTACCTGTCACCAGCTGAGTCAGCACTTTTGTCTGGTCATTGAGAATGTTCACTGTCACGTTCCTAGCAGACTTGAAGTATAGGGCATTACCCTGTAATAAAGAAAATGGAAGAATCACATGAAGGTGGCAGATTACTACAAAAAAGGAACTGTAATCCCAGTTCTGCAAGGGGGTGACCTGGTTTTAACCACGTTCTGACTAATGTATCTTTGTTTTAGAAGTCCAAATGTTTAACGGTGTGCTGTGATGTCCTCCAAAGAGATGGACCTCTAACACACACATTCATTCTCTCTCTCTCTCTGTCACTCTCTGTCTCTGTTTCTCTCTCTCTCACACACACAACTGGATAAGTGATAGCTGAGACTTAGAATTTTTTTGTATCTTAGTGTGCAATAAAAGCTAGCCTTGGAGCACAGGAACTCAAGTTTACAAGTTTTCCAGTTGAACCATGTGGCTCCCACAGAGAACAGCAGAAAGGTGGGGTGAACGCCTGCCAGTCAGGACAATCATCTGTGGAAAGCTGACAACACAGGCATGAGGAACCCAGGAGAGATGGCATCCCTAGGGAGATCTCTGTTTGCCCACTTTTCCAAGTCTCATCCCTAGGGCTCTTTTGCTCTAAGTAATCTGATTCACTGTCGACTTTCTCCTTGATCACATATGCCTCTCTCACACTGTGATACCTTCTTCCTTTAGAATGAAATTCAGAATAGGGCATGGCACACTTTCTCTGTGACAAGCCTGATCCTAAACCTTGTGGGATGCATAATCTCTGTTGAAACTCCTCACCTCTGCCATCATGATATACTGTCAGATTTCAAAAGGTCATACACAAGAAGTCATGGCTGTATGCTAAGAAAATGTTACCATAGCACTAATCTTTGGATGTTACATCATTCTCATTTCATACTTAAAATATTATGCAAACTTAATGTATCATAGGTGTTATTTTCTTCCATCCTTCCCCGTCATTTCAAAGCCAAAAAAAAAAAAAAACCCCTTATAAAGACAAACAGGCAAAAATAAAAATATTAAACCAAATTCAAAAAACTATGAGTGGTTTTATAAGATAAATATTTCACAGACATTACTTATCAATCTCTGGTTCAGAAGTTCTTCTTTCCGGTAATACCTACTGGTAGTAGCATCAGTTGTTTGTTATGGGAAAAATTTAAATGAACTTAGAATGAGTTTTGCAAAAACCTATCATTGCATGGTATGTACCTCCCACAAAACTTCTTAATAAACCAGTGGAATGAATCTGCCCAAACTTCATAAAATCACTGTCCTATAAGATGGACAAACTGAGTCTCTACCTTCAAATTTCTGCTTCCTACTGGGGACAAATATAGTAAAGAAAGAACAACGGGAGTGATTTGGGTGCTACGAAACCTTTGAAAGGCCTCCCTGATGGGTGGGGGTATTCATAGCGTTGGGCAGTGAGAGGCTGTCATGCTGGAGTAGAATGAAGTAATACACTTGGAAGGAACACCGGCATGGTTTTACCACCCTGAAATGAAAAATGAACGTAAGGGAGGTAGCTTGGGTTGTGTGTCCAGCAGAGCTTGCCTCTGTACTTGATGAGGCTAAGGATTGGATTACTAAGCCCAACCTAGTAGTTGCTTATGGCAGAACAAGAGAACAGTAGGAATGACAGCCAGAACTGTGGTCCAGGGTAATGCTCTCACTTGGAAAAGCAGGGAGGGCATGGCAGCTACTAGACATCCACAACCTGGACTCATGGTGACTCTCACCTAAGGAAAATTACTAAAATGGATTGCTGAATCCCATGACCTTCAGGCCTTAAGGAAACAGTGAACACTGTACATGAGCTATGGAGCAATGTGGAAGCAGTATGGTTCCCACAATGGCTTAAGGCTTAAATTTCCCTCTGACAGAGAAAAGAGAAAAGTCTTTCTATCTATCTATCTATCTATCTATCTATCTATCTATCTATCTATCTATCTATCTATCTATCTATCATCTATCTAGTTTAATTTGGGCACATGCACACTTGAATATATGTTTTCATATGTTTAATTTTCCTGTCCACATGGAAACAGATATTAGATTAAAATGGCTTCACCATTGGTTTTGGTGGCACCTATTAGTTCTACTCAAATCTCAAAAACTTTCAAAACAAAGTTTGAATTTGGAAAAATGGAAGCAGGACAGGAGGTTATATTTCCAGAAGTAAATGTGCCAAAACATTTCTTTATATATCCATCTACCCGGCTCTACAGAAAAAAGAGAAACCCAGAATCAAGGAAGTGGGTAACTGTCCCCTGACTAGCAGGATTTGAGGACATGTGTTGTAACCATAGCATTCTCTGTCATCAATACATGTCATTATGAAGCATTTGCAGTAAGAGATCTGAAATGTAGCTAATTTCCTGTCTCTACCACTTGCATGCAAGTCATGTGGCATTGGTAAACCAACTGAATTATTCTAAGACAATAGAAACATTTATATTAAAAGTTATGTATCCTTATTATTAAAATAATTAATATATATGTATAATTGTTATAGGCATGACCTGGTGTCAGGCATAGACCAAGCCCTCAGTAGCCATCAGGACAAGGAGTAGAGGAGAAAGGGGGTGATGAAAAGAACAAGAGGAAGGGGAGGAGGAGAGAGAAGGAACATGAAGGAAGCAGGGAAAGGAGGTGGGATGGAGGAGTGGCCAGAAGCAAGAAGTTAACCCTGTTGCATCTCTGATTTCCCTCAGTCACCTGGAGAATGACTCAGGAGTTTCTTCCATTTCTTTCTTTTTTTTTTTTTCAGCCTCATTATCAATATTTATTATGTAGCTGTCACAGCATCATATAGCGCATGCATGTACTCCATAGAGTCCCTGTCTCTACTTTCAGAGCATTTGTTATAGGAATCAAGTCTGCTCAGGACAAGGGAGGAGCATCCATTTGGACAGGAGCACCCAATATAGGTAAGTAGCAGGAGCCACCCATCTCCAGGTCAGTTCAGAAAACACAGCCTTTCTAATTCGGGTATGGGACCCACAGGGCTTCAGACCGTGAGCCCTGAGTAATACACTTGAATCACTAAAATGCAGCACTTTGCAGAATCTGACACCTCTCACCGAAGGGTGGTAGGGTCATGACAGTCTTCCTAACCACAGCAAGTTCTTAACATTATCCATCGTGTCAGTTACTAAACAAGTGTGGAATCCCTTGTACCAATAATCAAACCTGATTTTATTTTGCAGAACCTGGGGATCATGCCTAGAACATGCCCCCTCACCAGCACTTTTCCGCTGACAACCATCTGTTTCCTCCATTTCTAGCGTTTTCAGCTTCTACGTTTCAAAAAGCCTCCTTCTCCCTACACATGCCATTAGCTTACCAATGCCTTTCAAATCCCAATATCTTCAAACATTACTTTTGTATTCATGCTGATACAAACCATTTTATCATAAAAAAATCTCATAACAGCTTTGTTCTAGATTTTATGAGAGATGTTATAGCCACCACTTCGTTCATAGTTTACTTACTCGTTTATTTTAGTTCTTATTATATTTATTTTATCTTTAAAATTAAAATATAATTACATAAATTTATTCTTTTTCTTTTCTTCCCTTCAAGCCCTCCCCTGCCCCCAAATTCATGGTCTCTGGTCTCTCTCTCTTTTTTTAACTGTTATGCTACATACGCATATGAATACACACTCCTAAGTATATAGAGAGAACTACAACCTGCTGAATCCACATATTACACACACACACACACACACACACACACACACACACTTCATATATTCATTAAAATGACTCTACAGAGTAGAGAGTAGTCTGGAACAGGAAACTAGGTAACTTTCCATGACTAGCATATAACCTTGAGAACACATGTGGTAACCATGGCACATATATATGTATACATATGTATTTATATGTCTATATTTATATATTTCTAAAAACCCTGCAATTACTTATATAGGTGTATATATATATATATATGTATGTATGTATGTATAAAAATAATTTTATATACTATATGTGCATACACACACATATAGAATATATATTTCAAGGCTGTCCCTTTGATATCGAATAACCAATTTCAAGGCTCTTCCCTGAGGACGACTCTGTCCTGCTCTCAGCATTCCTTAGTTGCCTATAGCTTTATGTTTAGGGTTAGGGCCCTGTGGTTTATTAATTCTTATGTGTATGTGTGTGTGCACACGTGGAGGTCGGAGGCACTTGAGGACAACTTGCACAAGTGAGTTCTCTCCTTTTACCTCATGGGTTCCAAGCATCAAAGCCCGATGGTTAGGCTTAGTGGCAGACACCTGTACAGGATCAGTCATCTTGCTTGCCTGCTTCTTTTTACCAACACATCACAGTATTATACCTTAGCATCACTTGTTCTAACATTCTGGCATCTTGGAAAATAGAATCTTTGCTATCTCAGAGTTTGAACAATGAGCTTCACTCTTGCCCAGTGCTTTTTGTTGTAACCTTCAAGTTTACTTGTAATAGAAAGATTACCAGAAAAAGGCCATGAAACAACACACAAAGGGGAGAGCCTTTCATGGCAGCTAAGACCCTGTAAATTCCATGGTTTTCTCTGACTGCTTCTGACTGGAATCCAGGAAAATGCCAGCCAAGTAAGCACTCCCAAGACCTCAGATGAATCAGAACAAGTGAGGAGTCGGAAGAGGAGCAAGTGTGTGCCCTCTCTGCTTCTCTGTTTCCTACACTATTCCCCTCTCGACACGGTGACCCTCAAGATGACCTGCATGTGACCTAGGAGGACAAGGAACCCAGGGAAAGCTGCCTGGAGACTCAGATGTATCGGCATAAAGGGATCTGCAGACTCATCTGATGGCCAAGAGTGGGGAGTGATTGCTTGCAATTAACCCGCCCTCTGATATAGGGAAGGCTACCTGTGAGGTCTGGAAAGGATGCCAAACACCGTATTTTTGTGCTGACATTTGTGGCGCACAGATACTTTGATGGAGAAGAGCTACCACATTTCCAATTCTCTTAAGCATGCTCACAGAAAACAGTGCAATCTTTTGTTGATGTCTTGGGGTCATTGGCATGAACATTATTCACTCCAGCATGTTCCCCAGT